TTATACACATCTCCAGAATCAGAAACCAATTTATTTAGGCATTTTCTTTGATACACTGAATCATGTAAATAAAATTGTGTGGTGTAAATATTGGTGCAAATTATGTAGCATGCGCATCAACCGACGCTTTCGATTCGTCGAATAAATTTGCCTAGTGAAATGCAGGCTTTAAACTTATAGCAACCTACTTTATTTGTTCAGATTCTTATTATTCTACTACAGAATACTTCAAATACAGTTGGAATTCTTATTAAACAATTAAGACATTTAACAATTTCTATGATAATCCCACAGTATTTGTCAGAGTTATATAAAAAAAAAATAAAACCCACATTAAAAAAACAGGAAATTTTAACTTTTATTTTCTATCACTAGATAAGTATTTTTTTGAACACCGTAGGTTTAAATCTTTTTTTAATGTCTTTTTTTCCAGATACCACAATGCCCAGTCTAGTTGGCATACTGCGTGCTATTTGTTGGCTTTTGATCCTAATATTCATCGCTTGGCCTGTGGCAGGATTTATCGCAGGATTGTACATCTTCCTCCTTCCGTTTGCCGTCTGCATTGTGTTTTGCAAAACTATCGTTGATTTTCTAGAAACCATTATAAAATTACCGTACACTGTGGCGGACAATATGAGACAGATGAAACCATTGTGTAACTAGGGAACCTGACGACTGCATAATTAATGAGGATATATAACATCTGTATTCAATTATCAAGTAGTATTATTCAATGAGCTAAAAAATTTTGTTTATCTGAATTTATTAGAAATTATGTTCTTACAAATCTTGTAATTTTTGTAATTATTTTTTATCAAACTACTGTTAATGTTATTAGAATTAGATGCATTGATCAATTATCAGTGTTATCATTATCTCATGGTCTCTACGATCATTACCTATTATCATCATCCCAACCATAATATTATCTTTATAATCTTATTCTTATGTATTTTAAAAATTATCAATTATTAATTAATTAGTAACTTTTTGTTTGATACAATCTTACAAATTTTGTGTGTAATTATTTTAGATCATTACTGTTAATGTTAATTAGTTGCATTAACTAAATTATTAAATCATTATCACTTACCATCATTATCATCTTCATCATCATTACTACCATCTCTTGGTCGTTATTAATATCTCTATGATCATTATTATCATCTTAACCATCATATCTTCATCATCACCATTTCTTATCAAAAAAATGGGATAATATACGGTGCTCCTCTGTTTGCACAAAAGTATTTAATGATATTTCTTTGTAATAAGTTTTGTCAATAAATAATGTCTTTAAAAAAATTGAAAATGTATTTCCCCGACTTTTTTTCCTGTCTGACAAATTGATTACATAATCTGTCTTGTGTCCTTGATGGTTGGGATGCTGGATTTGGCAGTAGGGGGTGTTTGCAAGATGACATCACCTCAGCTCTACTATGGTTGGGGTAGACTTGCCACAAGTCTCTAATTATAGGTTTTCCTAGTATCAGTTAATTTTGGAGAGCGCCACTAGCGACGGTATATAGGTAATATGGAACGCCATTGGTGTCAAAATAGATTTAAAGACAAAGATTGGGGACTGGAACCCAGTCTATGGTTGGGGCTGAGGTGAGGATATCTTGTGAAAATCTTACTGTACTAGGCCTATGTTCATATAAACAATACAATACAAGAATTATTTTTCTTAATGCAATTTAGTGGGGTGTGATTGCACTGTCTGGCGTATCCATAAGTCTTGAAATGGGGGTGCAAAGGTGATGTGGGAGGGGGGGCCCTTGATGAACATTTGAGGGATGCTAACTTGCAAAATATAAGGTGATTTTTAACTACTTACAAGTGATTTTTTTGGGGGGGGGGACGCGAGTAATTTTTGGAGGGGTGTGTGCGCACCCTTAGGTACTTCACCACTGTCGTCTGCACCCCCTCTGCCCCAGGAATGGAAAGAGGGATAGTCCATCTACTTACCCAGTGGCCGGTTGAAGGTCGCATGTTTTTAAAATTATTAAATTATTAATCCTCAGTTTAAAAGTTTAATGAATATTTTTTTACAAAATAAAGTCAATTATGCTATGTTAGAGGGTAATGTATTATTCTGGTAGTAGTGGTCCAAAAGCAGTGTGTGGTCCTAAATTATCAGAATTATTTTCTTTGAAAAACAATTGCTGGTCATTACTTGGATTTATTCATTCATTTATTTCAACAAATGTTGTGTGATGGTTGTCCATCCAACCAAAGCTGATCATTTAGGACGCTATAGAAGATATACATACTGTACTAGCAAAGACAACATGTGGGTTTTGTGCTCCGATAAAAATGCATAATGTACCTAGTCAAACATATAATATGCTCTTTCAAAACCAGCAAAAATATAAATAGCATACAACATGTAAATTAAACTTTATAACTGATATGATAAAGTTTCATAGTTTTCAAATTTGCATGTACGCTACTTAAAAATAATACAGGTAATACTGTAATACATGTTGTTGTTGCTATGGAAAGACAGAAGGCTGTTACAAAATGACATATCATATGACAGTTATTGATCACATGATGAAAGACCTCTGCATGATCATGTGACTTGTAAGAACAATAACAGAATGGAATGTAAAAAGTGTTGATAAAATGCTTGACTGTAATTCCATATCATGGATGTGTCACTTATTGTGACTACTTCCTGTATATCCACAGGGTCAGTTATTTTGAATATGTTCAAGTCTTTTTCTGACTCAATCAAAGCATGACTATGAACTGCATGAACAAATTTACTGTTTGCTATTTAAAAAAAAAACCAATAATTGTTCCATGGAAAAATAAAATGGAAGTAAAGACTCAATTTTGCTTCTTTTATAATTACAAATTTGTTTATATACCAGCCTGTTTACAACTACTGTAGTATATAGAATAGTAAATAGCAAATACCTTCACCAAAAATAATTTCAAAGCTTGTACATGAAAATAATAATTACCAGTAATTTTATTTGGCCTTAAATACAGTAAAAGCAAGTAGTATAAACTATTTTTTATTCTCGCAAAAATGAATATTTTAACAGTATATGGTACTAATAATTATAATAAAAGTTATTGTGAGTGATTATGAATCCCGATTTAATTTTGTTTGTTGTTTTTCAAGGTTCCAACTACAATATTAACCTAATCTACTTGGAAGAGTGTCATAGGCAATTATTCCAGTGTTAAAGGTACAGTACAATAGATTTATGTCCCATTCTTTAAAAAAATCAATTGTTAATAAAGTAGTCAGACAAAAACAGTGAATTAAGAATTTTTATTTATTTGATTTTTATTGCCTATTAAATTTTTAATTTTCTGTATAATCCTCAGAATTTCCATTTCAAATTATAATTTAAGAGCCTAGTTTAACCTGTAGGATTGGATTGATTCCAAGGCTAATCCACGAAAGTGTGAAGAAGACGTATTTGCAGTGGGGCCTCATGGTGGTGATAGGGCAGTACTCTGTGGAGACAATCCCCTACTCTTTTTCGAAGAGTGTACTGCGTACTTTAACGTGCACACGGGCCATAATGCACACGGGACCAACGGCTTAAACGTCTTATCTGAAAGACGGTGTACTATCATAACTTGCATTTCAGCCTTTTTAGCTGAAATACAAGGACAGCAATGGGAATTGAACCGGGGACCTAGAGATCTCCATGGTTCAGCGCACACACAGTGGCTACCACCAGTTTAGCCGACTGAGCTAAGCTGCTCTATTTTAATAATAATAATAAAAGTTATTACAAGTGATTATGAACCCCGATTTAATTTTGTCTTTGTTTTTTTTTTTCCCCCCAAGGTTTCAGCTATAATACTAACTTAATCTACTTGGAAGAGTGTCATACAGCCATTAATTTAGTGTTAAAGGTACAGTACAATAGATTTATGTTCAATTCTTTAAAAAATCAATTCTTAATAAAGTAGTCAGACAAAAAAGAATTTTATATACAGTATTTTATTTTTATTGTTGCCTATTAAATTTTTAATTCTGTGTACAATCCTCAGAATTTCCATTTCAAAGATATAATAGATAAAGAGCATTTAAACCTGTAGTGCTTAAAGTATACAGTACTTATTATTCTCATGGAGTAAAGGGTAAGTCGCCACTGGGAATAATTTGGTACTTACTAGCTTATAGCTGTATCCACATCAGATCCGAACCGAAATTCAGACAGCGTTCAAGATGCACTGAACCCCAGCATCCCTATTCTTACACACTGATTCAATTTTCTGATCGCTTCGGTAGGCCTTTCAATCCAACAATTTGGATTTGGCGTGAATGCGCACCTTAACCGTGTTGAATTGGTTGTAGGCTAGATAATCTTATTCATTTTTATTAACAGTAATTTATTTTTCCAACCTCCAACATAAACCCGATTGGTGGCTTTCAAGAAAAATTGGTGCATTCATAACTAACGTAAACGAAGCCTAACAAAGCTTTATATAATATAAATAAAATGAAATTGTAAATTTAATGTGAAGTACTTTATTTTCATTTAATATCATAGTACAAATTGAAATTTTTAGGATTTGTGTATTGAAAATCAAAATAAATAAAAACAATAATATGACTGAACTTTAAAAAATACAACTGCCACCTTACTTTCAGGTCAAAATCAATTTGTTTCTTTCACCTTTCATCTAACATGGCAAATTGTGGCTGGTTGTGGAGTATCGTGTGGTTGATAATCTTGCTAGTGATTGGTTGGCCGATCGGCATTCTGTGCGGTCTGCTTTACGGATTTTTGTGTGCCTTCCCACCTTGTTGTGTCGGGTGCCAAGACCTTGCGAACTTCATTCATAGAGGTGTAGAGCTGCCACGCACGTGTGCGCAAAACATGGTCGCCCAGAAATCTGGTTGTTAGGTATTGCAAATGCAATCGCCATCACCATCATTGCAGCATCCATGGATTCGTAGTTGCTAAGTAACAGAACTATCATCAGACACAACTCTTTATACTTTTCACATACGAGTTTACAGGCTTATGAGTGATTTGTCATCATGGCAAAAATCTTCAAATTTTGAGATGGCCATAACCTGTATTTGTGCTTTTACTGGGCTTACCATTAAATGTTTAATCTATTTACAGCCATAGTGATTGACAGTATGTAGTGCGCATTGAGAAAAGAAGGTGCTCTCCATTTCGTCATGTTCAATTTTTTGGTCAACTATGCCTGTTGAAAATTTGATGGCGGGGAACACATGGGACTTCAATGGCATCGCGCAAACGTTCTTTACGCGCTGCGGCAACTTTGATCTTGGTTCAATTGCATAGCGTAGCTTTGCCGAGTGATCTCCTTCTCAATAATACCTCCATGGTTAAACCTGTAGTGCTTAAAGCCTACAGTACTTATTATTCTCATGGAGTAAAGGGTAAGTCGCCACTGGGAATAATTTGGTACTTACTAGCTTATAGCTGTATCCACATCAAATCCGAACTAAAATTCAGACAGCGTTCAAGATGCACTGAACCCCAGCATCCCTATTCTTACACACTGATTCGATTTTCTGATCGCTTCGGTAGGCCTTTCAATCCAAAAGTTTGGATTTAGTGTGAATGCGCACCTTAACCGGGTTGAATTGGTTGTAGGCTAGATAATCTTATTCATTTTTGTTAACAGTAATTTATTTTTGCAACCTCCAACATAAACCCGATTGGTGGCTTTCAAGAAAAATTGGTGCATTCATAACTAACGTAAACGAAGCCTAACAAAGCTTTATATAATATAAATAAAATGAAATTGTAAATTTAATGTGAAGTACTTTATTTTCATTTAATATCATAGTACAAATTGAAATTTTTAGGATTTGTGTATTGAAAATCAAAATAAATAAAAACAATAATATGACTGAACTTTAAAAAATACAACTGCCACCTTACTTTCAGGTCAAAATCAATTTGTTTCTTTCACCTTTCATCTAACATGGCAAATTGTGGCTGGTTGTGGAGTATCGTGTGGTTGATAATCTTGCTAGTGATTGGTTGGCCGATCGGCATTCTGTGCGGTCTGCTTTACGGATTTTTGTGTGCCTTCCCACCTTGTTGTGTCGGGTGCCAAGACCTTGCGAACTTCATTCATAGAGGTGTAGAGCTGCCACGCACGTGTGCGCAAAACATGGTCGCCCAGAAATCTGGTTGTTAGGTATTGCAAATGCAATCACCATCACCATCATTGCAGCATCCATGGATTCGTAGTTGCTAAGTAACAGAACTATCATCAGACACAACTCTTTATACTTTTCACATACGAGTTTACAGGCTTATGAGTGATTTGTCATCATGGCAAAAATCTTCAAATTTTGAGATGGCCATAACCTGTATTTGTGCTTTTACTGGGCTTACCATTAAATGTTTAATCTATTTATGATTATTTAAGGCCAACTTAAACAGCGTCGCATGACGCAGCCCAGCGCAATTTGTTGTCACGTTGAGTCTGTGAGTTAACGCAAACGGGATGATTTACGTCGGGGACTGACGCTTCGTAGAATATTAAACATGTTGAAGATTTCTCCCGACTGCTTAAGACTATCCCGATGATGAATCGCACCGGGTTGCCTCGTATGACGCTGTCTGAGTTGGCCTTTACAATGAATTTTCCTTCCATCCCATCTCAACTGATTGTCTTAATTAATCTATCACAATCACCGACAATACCAATTTATCTTGGAACAACTGCATAAAATGACATGATATGACAAGGAATATTAATTTTATTATTGAATGTAATCAAATCTTTATCCAAACTATCAAGGTGCTCTGTTAAAACTATTTTAAACTATTTTATAATTAGGTTGAATGTAATAAGGTGAATAATTCTTAATTTATAAGTGTAACTATTATAGACAATGTAGTGCATCGATATTAATACACAACAAGCCAAACCAGTCACTTGTTGCAAATCGTGTTTCAGAGATAATTCCCAGAACATGCTGGAATGTCAAAATTTTGGAAATCTATTTGATTGCACTAAAGTAACCTTTATATCTATATTATCATACTATGCTGTTATTTTCCCCTTTTTCAATGTTAAAACAACAATTTTTAATGATTTGGTGATGGTTTCTGGCTCAGAAATGCTCAAAATCATAAACTTTGAAAGCTGATTTCTTAAAACAGCTGTATGTTTAAACTCTTGTAACTTTATAACGAAATGTCAGATTTAAATGATTCTTTTACCATTTTATATTTAACTATGTATTTAATACCTAAAAAATTATTTTTGCGATGAGTGACTGGTTTGTCTTTGCAACATATAGTGTATGTTGAGTTTTAAAGGGAAAATATGTATGAACTTAAAAGATGTACTGTCTGTCATGAGCTAAAACAAATGAAAAGTTAATTCCCTATTTGAATTGTATCTTTCCTGTATTGCTTTGCATAGAGCCTTAAGCTGGTAATAAATTTAAGGATTTTCTGTAGTACAGTAAAATGTCTGTAAATCAGTAAAAAAATTTTTTTTTTCAATCTGTCGGAACTTAGTAACATACCATAACACCTTGAATAGATGCCCATCTCGAATTGAAGCCCCCTCTTTAGTTTGCAAAAGTAGTCTCGAAAAGAAGCCTGTGGGCTTTTTTTTTTTCAAGATACAGTAGTACAGTACATATACTGTACTGTACATGAATTTAATTCTGGTTAATATACTTTATTATGAGAATATGACACAGATTGATGTTACAGTGGCCCTATTTATTGTTTTATACAGTATTAGTAATACCCAAAATTTAAAGCATTCATTTTGAAAAGAAGACCCGCTCTTTACTTTGCAAAAGTAGCCTTGAAAAAAAAGCCCATCTGAAAAAGAAGCCCATCCAAAATTTGCAAAGAAAAGAAGCCCAGGGCTTCAATTCAAGGTTCTATGGTTTTTGATTCTTGTATTTAAACTACCTATTCAAAACTGAACTTTGTTTTTGGCAGACAGTACATCTTTAAACATGAAGATTTTAATTCAAAATGTACTCTTTTACAGTACATAAGAAACAGAATTATTAACCATGGATTCTGACAAACCAAAAATGCATTTTACTGAAAAAACTGAAACATTAAAAAGGTGAAATTTTAAACTTTATACCAACAAATATTTGAAATACTGGAGTATAGTTTGTCATAGTACATTTTACAGTTAACTATCTGCTAAAATGTGGTTTTAGATTCATTAAGGGTGCAAATGATAACAAATAGTTTTTTAGATATAGAGTATGTTATCATATTTGAAGCATTGAATTGCATGAGAAATGTATGTAGCTAGTAATGATGTACAGGGTACAGTATTTAAATTCAGATTTGATTTAAAATAATTTGGTGCAAATGATAACAAATAGTCTTTTAGAATATGTTATCATATTTGAAGCATTATTTTGCATGAGAAATGTATGTACTGTAGTCAGTAATGTATTCAGATTTGTTTTAAAATAAGTTATTTAACTTATACATTTTCGTAAGACATACCTTTGAAAACATAATAGAGGTTTTTTGCTACCTACGAGCTGACAAGATTGTACATGTACTCGCACTCATTTAAGAAATGTTTATTAATTTTTAATTTAATTTTCAAATTACCAGTGTAGTTTAGGTTTAATATACTTCAGGACTTTTAAATGTGAAGATTTTTTTCTAAGCTTTGCAAGGCCAAATGAGAATTATATTTATAATTTAATTCTGTGTTACAGTATTTTAAGAATTGTTTTTTTTATACTTGGTTTTTTGTGACAGATTTTGTTATGATTCATAGTACTGTATTTGTGTATTTTGTTTATTTCTACTGGTTGGCATAAATTCTTATCATAAATTCTTATACTTAAAGAATATAAATCAGTAATAAAAGAGACAATAAAATACTCTACCAATTCAAATGAGTTTTTTTTCACAACAGAGGATCACATTGCATTTTATAAAATTATTTAAAAAATAATAAAAAATATTAGAATAATTTATTTGGTTAATAAAAAATTACATTAAATAAAATAAATCAAATAAATTAGTAAAAGTTATTGTACAAAAATTGTAGTAGTTAAAGATCAATCAATTTAATTAAAATAAACATTTTTACAAAATAATGAATCATATTAAAAACAGTTTATGTTGCTTTCATGAAACATTTTATTCATCAACAAAGCACTTTTGTTGAACCAATCAGGTTGAGAAATTTTACAAGAAAAATAAGATCGTCGACCAATCACAAACAAGCTGTTTAGTAGTGAAAATGATTGAACCAATCACAGATAAGCATTATGAAATGGATAGATTAAGTCAATCAAAAGTATTCAATTTTACAATAGGATTGAACTGTACAAAAACATGGTGGTGATGATAAATATTTTGAAAAGTGTGCCTGGTTTCTTACTACTGTATGTTTATGCAGACACAAGTTTTAAATACTTAGATACATCAAAACTTAATTAAAACATGCATAGTTAAAAGCATTACAATATGCATAGCTACCAAATTTGGCTTAATTTTGTGTTACTTAAAAGCAATCAGAAATTTACTGTTTAAGTGTGTTTTTGACTAACTGTACATATATATATATACAGAACATCAAACTGTACATATATATATACAGAACATCAAATGTAAATGGACTTGGGAAAAAAAATCAGTAGTTTGTGCCTAAAAATAAGACAGAGAGGTGAGTTCCAGGGTGGCACAATAAGTAGATAATGTAGAAGATGCTCAAAGATTACCAAATTAATTTGAACCACATGAAGAATCTATCAATGCCGGAAACAAATATATGCAGAGTACAATCAGTAAATGAAAAAAAAAAAAAAAAATACAGCGTAATTCAGGGGTGGACATAAAAATCGGTCAAAGGGCCAAAGCTAATTTTTGATTTAACACTGAGGGCTGCACCCAAACTTTGATGTGTCCAGTCTGCTTCCAAAAACCTCAAAGCACTGCTTTTACACCACTTTTTTCTCAGTTTTAACGTTGCTTTTTACATATGATCGGCGTCAGGTCGTAAAAAGCAAGGTGTTTTCTAGGGGGCCGCACACTTAGGGTTTTTAATTCATTTTTTTCGGAAAAAAAAATTTCTGTCGGCCACATGCGGCCCACACTCAACCCACCTGTGGCATAGTCCATTGTGTAGTTGTCCATCCCATTGAACTTAAATTCTGGTAAAGTTTTTTGGGAGGTGACTGTAGCCAGAGGGCCAGGAAGGTAGTTCTAGTCTGGGCCTCGAGTCCAGATAGCATTTTATTGCAAGACTATTTAAAGTAAATATGTTCATACTCAATCTCAAGTTAATTGTGGAATTACGGTGTACACGGGTATATCATTTTGCATGAAAATTACTTTCAAAGATTACCCAATTTTTTTTCTATTTATTTTGAACATAAATGAAATTTTAAAATATAGATTAATAAGATGCAACAAGAACTTAAAAAGCAAAATGGAGATTCAAAAGTCAATACTACATGATTATATCCACATGAAACACTATTATAAATTCATTGTGAAGCCATCTATAAAAATTAAAAAAAAACACTGACCTGCATATTTATCCTAGTACAGTACTTTGTAATCTCAACAAGTATTACACTTGTTCATCTTGGAATCATTATTTTAAAACATTGTTTAAAGGAATTTATGTTTTTGTTGCTTACTCACCACTTATATCTTCAAGAAATACTTTTACATTCATCCTAATAATTTCATTAAATGATATCACAGAATCTAGAGAGCTTACAGGCAGAGTAAAACAGATCTAATCAAAGCATTCACTGCCCCAATTCTATGGAGATCACAGTGCCATACCGTGAGCACAAAATATTGTTTTTAATGACAGACCGTTCAGAGTGTCACTGACAATCGGCAGACGCTGTTGGGTCGTCTATCGCTCACAGGGAATGGAGTGGGATTTTTTCGGCCAACGGTCTTACGACCGCTGTGCAGCGGTCTTGCGACCGTCGTACAACGCGGTGAGTGCTCTGCTTAAGTGCTCTGCTTAAGTTATTTGCTTAGATTCAAACACTGTTGCATCTTTCGATAAACACTGTTACAATTATAATTGACAGTTGGGATGCATTAAAAAAGTAATACTTTACAAGAGAGTTGTCCATATAACATAGCACATTCAGCTAAGAAGTATTGTATTATTTGTAAATCATTTTATTTCAATATATAAAGGACCAGTACTTTATAAAAACAGAAATTCTATTTACAAGCCAAAAAAGGAGAATCCTAAAACTGCATGCTTGTACATATAACAAAAACAAAGATTAGAAAATACAACATAGTACATTATTCTAAAAATGGTCTAAAATGCTTTCAAAAAGAATGTACAATATATATATATACAACTTATCCATACCGTGCTATACCCAAATATGGGTGTGATGACACCATTCTGCCCATATATAGGCAAATCACTTTGATAGTGTGGACAGATCTTAGATAATCTGGTAAAACTATCTACCTGCAGATGCTTACACCTTGATGCCACGCCTTGCATTTATAGCATTACTTTTTTTGACACATCTCTGCTTCACTGCATTTGCTCGCCTCTCTGCCATGCTCGTCACCTTCGGCTTTTTCAGGTTCTCTTTTGCTTGTTCTACATTCAATTTCTTGTTGTCACTCAGCTTACCTGTTGCATAGTAAGGTTTAAAAGATTTGTTTCTTTTTTTATATATATACTGAGCATCCTGTTCAGTAGATATCTACTATTCTCCCACACGGCAAAGGTTTATGCTCTTATGAAGACAATCCTTGCCGAGACACAGGGCTTATATGGGCTGGAGCTATCTCCAGTTTCAAGTAGAATGAAGCGGATAAAGAATGTGTTCCTCCCCCTGGGAGGGACGCTGGTCCACCACAGGTTACTCCCAACAATACCCATTGATGCAGCTGGGTAGACTGAAGCAAAGTAGATAAAGTGCCTTGTTCAAGGATGCTTTATGAACTAAGTCTCATATCACAGCCTAGGGAGTGGAGTTAGTTTTTGGTTGTGAGAAAAAGTCCTGCAGTCACAGTAATAGAAACGAGACAAGCATCTTAACCACCAAGCAATTCAACTCCATTCTGATAATTTCCAAATTTATGAAAGAGACAGTAGAAGTCTAAGAATATCACCACCGCCACCACGAAACCCCCAAAATTGTTAATACTTTTTTTGTTTTCACAAACAGACTCAAAATACGCACAAACTACTTTGTACCTCTCTTTAGTAAGGTCACCAATATTTCCAAATAGCTTAACAATATAAGATCCTGATATGTTAGGCAACTGAACATTACAAACTACTGGTCATTCAAAAATATTCAAATATAGCTGGAGACAACAACCTATAACAGGATGAATACATTTGGATGTTTTATGTCAAAAAGAAATAAGGATGATGCAGAATGAAAATTATTGATTATACCAGCTCATGGTCTATTTTTTAATAAATCTTTATGGAGAAACATTTAAATATTAACAACAGAAAAATAATTACCTGTATACGGCTTATATGATAGCGGTTTAGCCAAGCTAGCCTTCAGGTCAAAGGTTGCCTTCTTGGCCGATACAGGTCCTGGGGTGTTTGTGTTTCCAGTCCCTTTGAACTTGAAGGGTGTCAGTGCAGCTGTTGCGTAAAAGTTAACAAAATTGAATTAGACACGGAAGTCGAATATGAGTTAAAAATTTCGGAATCAAGAAACTTGTACTCAGCTAATGACATGATTAAGCTTAAAATATTTATCAGTGATCCAAAATAGGATTAGCAATAATTATATTTTAGTAAAACATTTCCAAAATATTGCTGACATAATTGGGAATAGTAAATAAATATTATACGGTAATGGATTATGGGTCATTCTGGCTCAAACCAACCACAAATTTCAAAATGTCATAACTTGAAAACCACTTGGAAATTGAAGCTGAAATTTTGGATTCTTTTTTTCTTGGAATTTTTTTCAGGAAAATCCAAGGAGGTCACATGGGAACTTTTAAGGGGCTGCAATGGTTGTACGGACCAATACACTGGGGGGTAAACCCCTACTCAACTCGAAAGATGTACTGGGTTCTTTATAGTGCACATGAGCAAATTGTACACTGGGTCTACAGTTTATAGTCCTCCAGACCCACAGACAAGCTTGCCGCCAAACCAGCGCCAATATTATGGTTAAAGGTTGCGGCGCCACAGCCTTAACCATTCTGCCACTCGACGTGCTTTAATGAAGTATCGAAAGGTCCACTGATTAATCTCAGATAAGATTGTATAATACATACTCCAAGTATCGGATTAGCAATAATTATACTTTTAGCAAAACATTTCCAAAACGATGGCGTGCATTTCAATACTTGGAGTATGTGTTATACTCTCTTAATGAAGCATGCTTTTTTTAATTTCACATTTAACATAAACCTGGGCAATCACATAAACAAATATCTAGAGCTGTGTAAATGTAGCTGAATGAAATTTTATTGATTCTCAGAGAGTAACACCAACTTACAGCCAACCGACTTGCGAGCTTCACTGGCATTGAGGGACTTCCTGGCACTCGTCCCCTTGAATACAAACACCGACGACGACTTGGTACCCTTGTCAAACTTCACACTCATGTTCTTTGTTGATGTCACTTTCGGTACAAAGACTGGCGACTGGAAAGATGGTGGGGGGACTGGTGCTGCCTTAGATAACCTGCGTTTCTGGTGAAATGTAAAAAAGTCAGTTTTCATAAGAATGAGATGTATAGATTTTTTCAAAATATATTGAAAAAACTTGGGTATCTAGGGTAGGCGTGTGTATTGAAGAGCGATGCTAACTGGCTTTACAAAGAGTGTATTTATATTTTGGTTTCTAGTCCTGTGACACCTACCTTGTTAGCACTTGCAGGTGGTGTACGATAAGCTTTTAGATTCTCTACAGCATTTTTTGTACGTTCTGTCAAAGTCTAGAAAAAATTTTTAATGAACAATGAAATAAGTAACAAATTATATGCCTAAGAGTTGCATCCTGACTAACCCAAAAATTAGTCCAACTGTGAGTCTTCAAAAGTAATGTTGTTTTAGCTCTTTAAGGATTTGAACACAAGAACCTGGTATTAGAAGAATGGCACCTTGTGCATTGCTTAACTCACCAAGCTACAGCCAGGTACCAAACCAAATTCAAAGAAGAAAGAAGATTGAAACAACTAACATTTAGAAGCATTAAAAAAAAACAGCAAATAATGTTTACACTCTTCCACTTAATAATGACATCGTTTCCAGAGAGAAAAGAATAATAAAAGCACTTACCTTTGCTTTCTTGACAGATGAAGTCAGCTCGTCAGTTCTTTGCCTTTTTCGTGCGAGGTAGTCGTCAATGGACTCCATCTTATCGAACTGTCTTTTGTGTACCTTGCTCCAGTCCTTTGTTGCTGAGGTTGTTGCCAATGTAGCTCTCTTTTTTTCAGCTAAAAATGCTGAGAACCGAGGAATGTTGCAGTTAGCTTTTGCTGGCTCTTTCACTAGAGAAAAAAAACACATTTTAGTTCATAATAAATTTTATTAGTTAAAATGTTAAAATTATTACTAATTTTATTATCACCTCTAAAACTTACTTAGATACAACCAAAGATCAGAGCTTTGAAACACAGACTGATCAAATTTCACAAAACAAATTTTAGTGTGGCTTCTACAGAATATCAATTAAATCCATGGTAGACCATTATCTTTGGATTGCACTGTTTGTTACAAGAATCTTGATTCCAGTGCATCTTCTAAAACAGTAAGTTAAGTGCTTAGTAATTTAAATCAATACCTTTGAATCACACTTAAATATGTTACAGAGATTGCAAGCAGATATTTAAGAGTGCTCTCCTTAGTTGTCAGATTTTTGATAAAAACATATGAGTTGAGGGTAGTGTCACAGTGGGTGAATACCTAACATTTGATTTGTCTAGAAAATACTGTAAAACCTTGAATAGAAGCCCTGGGCTTCTTCTGTTTTTTATTTTTTTAAACTTTTGCAAACTAAACAGGGGGGCTTCAATTCGAGATGGAATTCTTCTCGAAATTAAGCCCATTAATCAACAGGGTTTGTGAAAATTGTTGGTACAGCAAGTGAATGATCACTTGAAAGTCTTTGCCATGACATTCACAATGATTACACCTAGGTCAATGTACCAGATGCAATTTGGAAGGATACATACCCTTTGCAGGTGCATTGTCATTGTTCTTAGTACCAGTAGCGTCATCATTTTTTATTTCAAACGTTGAACGGCGGACTTTCTTATCCTCACCACTTTGGTCCTGCTTAGTTGTTTCTTGTGCTGCAATTCTTGGTGATGTTCTACGAGACACTGATTTCGACTTCCTTTTTTGCGCAAAGCTTCTTGGTGTCTCAGATTTAACAGATTGTCTGCGAACACTGTTTGTAGCACCGATTGACTTTCTTGGATGAGGAGTTGCAGATTTTGGCATGTTGACAACCCTGGCACTGCTTGGGGTGATGTTGCTCCTCATGGTATTCTTGGGAGTCATGAGGGACCTTGGGGTAACAAGGCGTACCTTGTGTGCTGGTTTTTGAACTGCTGCAGTCTATAAATATGGGAAGATGGAAAAACTGTTTGTTGATCACTCTTAAACATTCATAATACTAGGCCTAATTATAACAGTCAATATAATAAAGAAATTCACAATTGATTAAAATCTTCATTGAACAACTGTGTTAAATTAAAAAAAAAAACCAATACAGTTATAGAATTTAAACATGTTAACAGAGTTCGAAATCCTATTTGATTATTCTTAAAATATAAAATGTCATAAAAAAAATGTAATTGTAATTTGAAAAGGGCACAGATTTAGTATTGGCTAGAATTTAATTTTAACCTTTAAAAAATGTAAGGTTTGTGTTTTGGAGTTATTTAACGGACGGCCAAGTGAACAAATGTTTTGGAGTTGTAGCATGACTGAGTATGTGGATAACAAATTTTTATTGTTTTTACCTCGTTTTTTTTTTTTTTATCATCTATCTATCTATGATGTTCTTTTACCTTGGTTTTTGTAAAAAAATTTTTTCAATACCAAAATGCAGGCCTGCCATAATTTGGCAGTGTTTATTATGCCGGCGCCGGCAAATATGCCAAAATAGTTATTTTGCCGGCCTATTTCTCTGATTGGCTATTGTAAAGTATAACGTCATCAAATTTTCGGTTGCGAGTTGTATGTTTTGCAGATGCCGGCAGAGACATCACACATATTACTGAACTGTACATAAGATAGTATAATACTGTAAATACTCAAAGTATTGAAATGCACGCCATCGTGTCGGGACTCAATATTTCGACATTAATTGTGTCATCATCAGGAATGAAAAATCCCAACACGATGGCGTGCATTTTGATACTTGGAGTATGTACTGTATTTATACTATCTTATCTGAGAATAATCAGGGGACTTTTCAGTTATTAACCGTATATATTGTATATATCTTTTGTCTATCGCCAGTATTGTTGTGCTGTTACTATTAGTGTTAGGTTCCCGTGGGTTTTTTCAGCAAGCTTAGTTAACGAACTATTATTTAACATTGTTCCTCACAAAAAAAGAAAGAAATGCCAAGAAAAAAAGATCTGGGCCATCTATAGGTGTTTGTTCATAATAATGCAATGTATGTTTCTTGTAGTCAGAGGGATCATCTTATACTTCAACACTAATAATATAATAATAATAACAATAATAACAATAACAATAACAATAACAATAATAATAATAATAATAATAGTGTAGTTTTATATAGCACACATATCCATCTAATGTAAGATGCTCAGGGTGCATGATATGTGGATTAGGAACTCGTTCAATGACTTTCTTCGCCCCTAAGGGTCCCTTCGTGTCTGCGCTACCCGGTAGCCCGGTACCAGCAACTCTCGTCGTCCACCACAGGGGCTGTCTGTTCCAGTACACCGGGGTACCCCTTGCTCGTCTCGAAAGATGTACTGGGTTCTTTATAGTGCAAACGAGCCATTGTAAACACTGGGCCTATGGTTTATAGTCCTTATCCGAGAAGACTCGTTCTACCACCAGAACCAACCATAGGCGAGCGTGCCGTTCGAACCAGCACCGATATTATGGCTATAGCTTGCGGCATCCCTGGTAACCACTCGCCCATTTCACTTGCCACTATTGTAATATTAAAATCATGATCTAGCCTAAATCTAAATCTATTAAGTTACTCCTCTGTCATCAAAGCCTGTTTAGCATCTGGATGAGCTCATGCACAGTTTTATAAAAGCAACATTCATAACCAAGTGCTCTTGTTATCTCAATAATGTGCTGTATATTATTATTATTATTGCTATTGTTTATTTTCAGTTAATTTTACAATTAGTTCAGGTTATTAGTTTAAACAGTAGTAAATTGGCTTGAAGTAGAGCCTATTTCAATTTCGACTCACACAGTGAATCTTATATTTTATTTATGTTGTCTTTATCTTTTCATTACTTACCACCACCTTCATTTTCCCATATTTCACACCACCTTCACTGGCAATCTTTTCTTTCTTGCCCTTTTTCCTTTCTTTCAATAAGTTTCCTTATTTCTTTCCTTATCCTTTCTTATGTTTCCTTATAATTTCTTTCCTTGTCTTTTCTAAAATTTCTTATCATTTCATTCCTTTTTCTTTCTTATTATTTCATTCCCTTCCTAGGCCTAGGCCTGTATTTATTTGCAGGTGCCGGCACAATAAACACTGCCTATAGGCCTAACAATTTAGAAATTGCCTAAAAATTTATTTTAAAATTCAATGAAATTTGCTTACCTCTTCTTGCGACTGTGGTGTTAAAACATTTGTCATGTCACGTTTGCAAGCAGATTTTCTTTTTTTCTGTGGTGAAACACTCTTGTTTGTTGTAGTAGCCCCCTTCTGATTGAGTGCAGCAATAAGCTTATCGGCCTTTTTAATTTAAAAACAAAAACATTTACAGTATCAATATTGCAATGTGTAAAGTACCTAGGCTCGCTCGCCCTGGCTGGGCCAAGCCACGTGAGTAGACCTAGCCTAGAGTCTAGATAGAGAGAGGTCAGTTAGTTGTTAGGCCTAGGCGCTTCCTTAGCCTAGCCCAGCAAGTTAGGTGTTCATTTCTTACCTTCTGGTTAGCTCGAATCCCATTTTTCTTGGCCAATTTTTGCAATTCTGAATATTTTAGGGTCTTTAGATAATCTTTATCCATTTTATATAATATTACTGAACCTGAAAACAATGACTTATGATGACTTTTTACAGATCAAACAACATAAACAAACAAACAAACGCTTTCCGAGACCATAAACCATGCCATACACCAGTTCGAATCTACCTCCTAAAACCTGATTGGTCAATATAAGAACGAACATAAGCTATAGGTGGCGGCAAACATATTTTACACGTTTTCACTAAAGAAACCACACACACACATTCGGTTAACAATGTATTTAAGCCATTTATTATTCTAACGGAAACCAAAAGGTGTAACCTATCATGCTTATACGAAATATTTGTAATTATTTGCTACCCAGTATTAGCCTCTTTAAACACTAGAAATGAATTACTCCATATATATATATATATATATATATATTTGGACTCAATATTAGGAATGTTCTCCCAGTACACTAAATTAAACCAATAGTATTTCAATTTATTCTGGATAAATCATTTTGCTTATTTATTGAGGCTTGCCTCTAAAGCTTAGTTTTGGCCTTCCTGTTTACTTGTTTAGAAAGTTTTAAGATACATAAATAAGACAGTAATACAGTGAAATATATCAATATCTGTCTCTTATACACATCTAGATGTGTATAAGAGACAGTAGTACTAGTTAGTAGAAACAGCGGCACCGAAGCATCTCTCGTAATGATCTCGATATTAAGATGAGTATGACTGCGATGAATTCCAATGCGGCGCAGAATAAAAACACTGCTTGGTACGAACCAAACATGTCGTAAAACCAGCCTGTTGATTTTTTTAAAAATAAATAAAACACAAATCATTTACCGGTATACGAAAACAACCAACGAATTATTTCAAATTTCCAATTATTGCGAATTAATTGCCTATAGATACGTCGTTAATAAGCTGATAATATACTGAATTATTAACATATTATTAGACCTATCTAATTATTTCAATACCAGATACCTACTTATATTATTTGTTGGATAATTTATTATTATTAATAACAATAACAATAACAATAACGTAAAAAACTGTAACAAATGAATAGTAATAGCATTATCAATAACATAATAACAATAATAATAATAATAATAATAATTACCGGTATTATTATTATTATTATTATATTAACAATAATGTCAGTCTACTGATTCAGCCATTATGCATTGGATAAACCGTGAATCGCCCAAGAATGTGGAAAAACGATTTTTAATAATGGGCATATTGATAAAGCAAAAGTACTACTTTACCGTATAAAAATCCTGATATTAATGCAGTCAATCCAGAAAGAGAGTTTATCCATCCAAATGTCACCGCTAGCAATCTGTGTCCCGAAAACTGCCTTGTTATTGCAGTCAAATACGGCAACATTAATCCAGAAGAAAAACCGTTAATAATTACAGCCGCTAAATACCAATAATATTGTGTTGTTATTGACAAGAGAAGATTGCTGACGCAGTTCAAGCATATGGCGAAGTACAACAACGACATCGAGTTACAGATTTGGATAGCGTTTGAGAGTATCTGAAAAAATCTTCCAGCTATTCCACTGAATCCAGAAATTAATAGTCCGGTTGCAGCAGCCATTGGATCAATACCATTGCTGATTGCTTTTGGTATAAAATAAGGAACTGTAGACAGGTATCCCCCATACACCAATGCTGCCACAACAATGTAAGTGGAAACTCCAGGGATGGCTTTTATTTCTCTAAATTTTGTAACTGAAGAAAGTTTCCAAAGTATTGATGAACAACTTAAATTCACTTCTACTAGTTTGACTTGGTGCTCCAGTAAATGAATCTCACTACTGCTTCTACGAAACTGTATCTTCTTGTACTGGTAATTGAAAAATACAGCCAAAACACATTCATTTAACATTAGTCCAGCAAGAAAAAGGTAAGCTCCGTGTAATCCATAGCATTGTAATAACACCTACGAAGTAAGATAAGTAAGATACAAAATCAATTAATATTGTTTGGGATACATTACGTAATAGCTCCGAAAAGAAACAAAAATGTCAACGTTTCGAATAAATTACACTATTTTTTGCAGAAGAACAATGAAGTACAACCCAATACAAATAGTTTATGGACTGCCTTCGATTACACATGAAGTCAGAACATTAACAATACCTGTTGTGAGTACAATTACAAAGCAATTCTTCAATTAAATATCATTCTACAAAATTAAATAAACTTTCAAATGATGTTTTACAAATGCATACAATTAGAAAATCGTATATCAATTAATAAATCATTATTTCTTCTACTAAAATTGTAATTTTACCTCTGTTAATATTGGGAAAACCATTACTCCAAATGACATACCGGAAAAGGCAATTCCAATAAATAACGCAAACCCTTCAGAGTAAAAATGGCTGAGAGATGAGACAACTGAGTTCACTATAAAACTTTGCCCGAAACCTTTATAACAAAAATTAAGAAGTACATACTAAGAATTGGCAGAAGGGAATATTGTGAGGATGAATCACACAAGAGAAATTTAAATGCAAGGGATGCTCAGTGCTACGCACTTACAATTAGAGACGTAAACAAAGCGGAATCTGACGTTCGCATTACGCAAGACAGCTCGACACAGCTATTTTTTTTTTCGAGACAATAAGAGAACTGCTTGCATTTATTTTATTTTGTTCACCATTCAACAGCAACGTAAGTTGCCACTTACAGAATTGAAATTAAGACAAAATAATTTATAAATATATAAATATACTGAAAATGTAAAAAAAAAAAATAATTAAATTCATTTGTTAAAATAAATTTTTTAAAAACCCAAAAGTTTTAAGATACATAAATAAGACAGTAATACAGTGAAATATATCAATATTGCTATCAGATTGAATTAAAGAATTATGTAAATTAAGTAACCGTGGTTGAAACCCCCTACGTGAAACATGAACCTTATTAGCGGACTTCAGCCTTGTACCACGAAATTGAACATGTAAACTAAATAAGGAACACAGTCACAACAATTAGCACTATACAAAAACATTAAATCAAACACACTTCTTCTACACTTAAGGGGTTATAAGGTTAGTGATAACAGAAACATTAAATCGTTTGTCAAGGAATCTAATAAATTTATCTTGGTCATTAGCCAATTTTCATCATCATCACCACCATCATCATTACCACCATTACCCTCACTATTTTTAATGTTAATAGTCATCATAATCACATTTAACATCATCATTAACGTCAAAAAATCAAGAATCATTGTCAGTGTCTTTAGAATCACTGTTAGTTTCATCTTTAAGACACTATTGCTATTGTTATGTAAGTAAATAATAAATAAATAAATGTTATCAATCAAAATAAATAACTGCTTTGGACTTACCGAATATATTACTTGACGCAGTAGAAAAAGTTGCAGCCCAAGCAACATCGGCGACTGTCGCTTCAAAAAAGTCAACAAGGTGAGGTTGAAAAACACCGAATGAGTTGTACCCACCTGATACTAGAGATAAATTTAGCACCGAACCTATTATTATCAATATTCTTAGCGCCCGTTTGCTTGAAATGTTATCCATGTTACGAAAAACAACAACTATCACTATGCTTGTTGAGTTGTTGAACGGTTGTATGAAGACAATTATAGAACAAATTTTAATGGTCATTTAGCGAGTAAAAATATATATTAATTTCAGTACACCACAAGGTTTCCTCGAATGTTACAATTGAAACATATTTTGTTGACACAATGGGCAAATGAATTTCTGGATTTAATATTCCAACGTATTTAGCAATACCACATGTGTAACATCACGACTAAAACATCACATACTACAATAATAATACTCAGAGTAAATTAGTTCTGGATTCAATAGAATATTTACGATGAGATTTTGAAGAACACGGCCCCAGCACTGTTGCTGGGGTGACCCAAGCGAAAAATAGGTGGCGATCAACCGAACTGTCATCGGAAGGTCCGAGCTGTCATGGCTTCACTTTTGACCTATTTGCCAACAAGAGGTGAAACGTGTCAAATCGGTTAAGTAATAGGAAAATTTACAATAAATTGACAACTGGAACGCCATTGGTGCCAACATTTTTTTTTTTTTTTTTTTTTTTTTTTTGTGGAAGCATTTTTACTGATTACTGATTAAGTAAAAGTTTAGGGACTGGAAGTCAGTCTATACTTCAGAGAACATTATGATTTATATTAACATTGCCTATATTCAAAAGTAAACATCGTCGTATAATAATCCTGATATGATAATAGCATTGATCCATCCATCTGTCAATGTTAGCAATAGACTGTTTAGATCGCAACCTATAACATCTTTCCAATTATTGAACAGATTTTTTAAAGAATATAATACATTACAATAATTTTTTTTTCTACTACAGTGTTATAAGAATAGGGCAGATTAAACAAAATCGCATGGAATAAACACACTGAAAATATGTTCCGATAAAAATAAGCTTAATTATCTAATTTTCATTTAGCATCTGCAGGGTTCGAAATAAAGCTGGTCCGCCGGCCAATGGCTAGTAAAATGCATGGCGGACCTGTTAATTATCCCAATAACAAGTCCGCGTGACCAGTTAAAATGTCAATGAAAGTCTGACGAAATACCTAAATAAAAGCTTTAATCATTCACCTCTTAACGATGTCTTTACAAAATATTTCACACAGATAATGTCAACAAGATCGCTATTTTCTGTTTATTGTCATGTTAATGTCCGCTACGAAAAGCCTCGGTCTCAGCATGGTCTCAGTCATTCAAGGCGAACCGATGAACATCGCGCACTAGCCTGACCATAGAGAGGAATCCATGGCTAGGCTAGACGTACAGAGGGAAATCACCTTCTCCGCATGTATAGCGACAAGGAGAAGTTGATTTCCGTCTGTGTGAGCGCCGTGAAGTTAAAACACTGTCTCTTATACACATCTAGATGTGTATAAGAGACAGCAAATACAGGGGCGGATTTAGGGCCCCCCCCCCCCTTTTTGGGAGGTAAAAAAAGAAAAAAAGAAAAAGAAAAAAAATGATAGCCCACAACGCCTCAAATGTTATTTTCGGGCGACTAGAACACAAAAATTTTGCGGGAGCATCCCCTCGGACACCCCGGGGACATTGTTGTCTCGATCGGCCCAAATTTCGCCCCCTCCCCCCACTTTTGGACATCTC